GGCAGTTCCTGTCGGTGCACCAGAGGGGGGGGAAATATTCCTCCCATCCAGAGAGCTGGTGGTTTGAAGGAGTTTGGTTTAAAAAAAGAAAGAAAGAAAGACAAAAACCAGTTTGGTTTATCTCCTCCAAGAAGGATGGTCCTATAAAGCCACTCTTCATGGTCTGAAAACTGCTCCTGATGCTTCGCAGGACTTAAAGACGTTTCTCTTATTGTTATTTTCATTGTTTAGGAGGACAAGATGGAGGAAAAGCAGTTCGATTGCTGAGCCTTCCTGCTGCTATGGTTCATAAACTCTTTAATAACAAGCAACAAACTACTCTGGAAAACAGAAGAAGGGAGCAGGAGATTTAAAAAAAAAAGGGTGATCACAAGACTTGGAACCTCCAGGAGGCCTGGTCTTTGTAGTCCAAGCAGTCTGTGGTGTTAAAGTTGAGCTTCCACGACGAGGCTGCAGTCTGCTCTTTGTAATCCAGGCAGTCGGACGAGTTGAAGGCCAGGCCGGAGCCGGCGTACGCCTGGTGGTGGTGGTGGTGGTGGTGGTGGTGGCCCGACGACTGGCTGATGTGGTGGTGCGGGTGTCCGGACATGGACGAGGCCGCCATGGGGCTCAGCTGGTGGGCGTGGTGGTGGGAGTGCATGGGCGCCAGGTAGGAGCCGCAGTCCACGCCGCTGAAGTAGGAGCTGGAGGGGGCCGGGTAGCCCTGGCCGTAGCCCGGCGTCTGGTTGTAGGACATGGGGTAGGAGGTGGCGGCGGCGGCGGCGGCGGCGGCCGAGCCCGACATGGAGCGCTGCATGCAGGAGGGGTTGGACGGGGGTCCGGGCTCAGGCAGCGGGGCCACGGCCGGAGCCGGGGCGTTTCCCGGGGAGATGGCGGGGCTCCAGATGGAGGAGACGGTGCTGATGGAGGTAGAGGTGCTGCTCAGAGCCGCGGGGCCCGTGTGGTTGGTGGACGAGGACGAGGAGGACGACGAGCCCGTGCTGGAGACGGCGGGAGGCGTGAACTGGCCGCTGCTCTCGGAGCCRGTGCTCTCCCGGGCCGGAGAGGACTTCTTCTTGGGCGGCCTGGCCTTGGCGCTGCTGCCGCTCTGCTGCTGCTGGCGACACTTGGCCCTCCGGTTCTTGAACCACACCTGTAACCAAAAAAACACCTGAGTTAGAACTCAACCTCAGCCTTTCCTCAAGGAAAAAACATAAAGAAAAAACCTCCTAGGCCATGCTGGGAGTACATTATGGAGGAAAATTGAGGGTTATTATCCATCAAGGTTCATTTCCACCCCGGCCCCTTGGCTTGGATCAGCCAGGGGTCTAATTTCATACCTGGTAGACGGCTCAAAGATAACAGACTATTGAGTTTCACTGCGCAGTGGGGTAACTCAAGAGCACTGAGAGGGTAGGATCGTGTGTTTCACACTCACATCCTGAAGAAAAAGCTCAAACTGAGAGCTGAAGGCCTTGGTTTTTCCCTTTTATGGTTTTCAAGGTTCAACAGCAAGTGAAATGTGCTGCATTTCCTGAGAAAGTCAGGACCTCTTCCTTACAGAAATACTTTTAGATATAATAAACATTATATAATGTCTATATCTTTACAAGCAAACTGTTTTTTTTTGTCAGCTTTAAAAATATGTCTGTTAAAAAAGTGTGTGTGTGTGTGTGTGTGTGTGTGTGTGTGTGTGTGTGTGTGTGTGTGTGTGTGTGTGTGTGTGTGT